GTGTTTGACATCTGTCATTAATCAGTGCACATCATCAGCAATTTCATATAACAACATACATTTTTTCTTTCGTAATCATATCTAATTTTTTGCTAAAAAAAAAGCATATGCAGGAAGCTTTGCTTTTCTATTTCAATTTGAAGAAATCGACTGCCGAATTGCATCGAATGCTTGTGGAGGCCCATGGCGACAATGCTTTATCGGAAACAACGTGCAAAGGTTTGCATTGGTTTCGCCGGTTCAATGATGACAATTTTGATCTGAATGACAAGAAGCGTGAAAATCGGTCCAGGAAGGACTGTCAATTGCAGGCTCTTTTGGACGAGGACGATACCCAATCGCAAAAAATGCTTGCCGAGCAATTGAGTGTTTCTCAAGCAGTCATTTCCATGCGGCTACATGCCATGGGGAAGATTCAAAAGATTGGAAAATGGGTGTCGCATGAACTGATAGGCAGATGGAGCGACGCCAAAACACAGGCCAAATTCTGCTTGCCAGACAAAAAAGAAAATCGTTCCTGCATCGGATTGTGACAGGCGATGAAAAGTGGATAGAATCCTAAACGCAAGAAATCTTGGATTAATTCCGCCCAACCATCAACATCTTCCTCAAGATCAATCATTTTGGACGATGCTTTTGGGATCAGGAGAGTGTCATCTATTACGAGCTGTTAAAACTTGATGAAATTGTTAATGCTCATCGTTACCACTAACAATTGATCAAATTGCACCGTGCTCTGCATGAAAAAAGGCTGCATTATCGGAAAAGACATGACAAGCTGATTTTCCTCCACGACAACGCATCATCGCACACGAGGAATTTTTTTGGCGTGGTATACACAAATTGCTCGAAAGATGGGAAAAATGTATAGTTAGCGAGGGCAAGTACTTTGTTTTTGCTTCCTAGGAAAAAAAAAATGTTTTTCTGACTAAAAACAGCGGATTTAAGCTTATACACCTGGTATATGTAATGTGAATTATATATTTTCAACATTGGCAATGTCTATTAGAAACACAGTATAAGATTAAGTACAAAATGCTTTTTAAGAAATTAAGAATAAATTATAAAATACGAAAATAATAGGGAACTGAAGTAACGATAAAAATAACGGTTAAATTCGTTACCGTTACTATAAAAATATAACGATTACCGAAAAAAGTAACGATCGTTACTGAAAAAAGTAACGAAAATGATAACAGCGTTACAAGTAACGCGTTACTTCCCAATCCTGGCTAAAATTAGAGGTTACTCAGGATCACGACTTTAACAACATATGTCAAGATCAAAGTCATTGGAGGAAGTTCCCTAAATTGGAGTATTACATAATTTTATACAGTCTGAAAATAATATTTACTGACCCGTGTAAAGCTTCTCAGCGACACCGTTCTGATCACCAGGAATCGCATTCTCATCCTGCTCTAAACTCTTTAATCGACTGAGCTTCTCTTGCTTCTTAATCTGTTTTTTCTCCCGCTTGCTCAATTTTCTTCGGAAGCTAGAACCCTCGGCTGAAGTAAAACCGACGCCTTGCGCATTGGTTTTATCGTCGATCCTCTTCAGCAAGAAGCGTCCCTCCCGATCGTCCATATGCCAATTTAGTTGAACTAGTAGTGGTTTTTCTTCTAAATCAAGCTTACGCTCCTCTGTAAATAAAATTCCATATACATTATTATTAACAATAATAAATGATTTATTAAGACCATATGTGAATACACAACAAGAAAGAGTTTAATGCCCATAATGGCCGAAGCTGAATCTTAGATACTTTAAATAATTTCTATGTGAATTTATATACTAAATATGTAGTCATTTGAACTGCGTGTCGAATTGATTTTTCATATGATATATAAACTACTATATTAACGCAAATAAACTATTATAGTAATATCACAAATTGAATTGACAAGCAATTTAATAATTTGATGTTCAATCAGGCATTCCTATTAGAAAGATTAGACAATCCTATTAGAAAGATGTTAATACTAGTGTATATAGGTACCGAAAAGCATCTAAGATCTAACTGCCTTTATAAGCATTAAACTCTTACTTGTTGTGTATTTACATATACAGTTTTAATAAATCGATTATTATTGTTTATAGTTTATATTGTTATAAGCAACCTAAAAAATGTATCACAATTCCTATATATCGATTATGGCAAAGAATATCACTAAAAAAAAACTTCGAACAAAAGCTTAGAATATTCATACGGAATACAAGAAATCCCCTTTAACTCCCGGTCGAGGTAATATTTTTCGCAATAAATTTATTTACAATTTTTCAGTATTTTAACATCTTTCTAATAGAATGCCTGAATTGAGCATCAAATTATTAAATTGCTTGTTAATTCAATTTGTGATATTATTATAGTTTATTTATGTTTATAAGTCCGAAAAATCAATTCGACGCGCAGTTCAAATGACTACATATTTAGTATTTAAATTCATATAGAAATTATTTGCATAGTATTTAATTGTAAGATCCAGTTTCGGCCGTTAGGCTAAACTTTTACTCGTTACTAAATTAGATTAAAATATTTTAAAGAAAATAATATTAGAAAAAAGTTAAAATTAATTAAAGTACTTTCTCCAACTAAAAATAGACATGAATTTATACATTAAATATAAATGTATGTACATGTATTTAAACAGCATAATTCAGTTAATAGAAATTTGTAGTATATTAGGTGTACAACTTTGCTTCCGCTGTTTTCCTATAGATGGCTTTAGCCATCTTAGTGATGGTCGAAATAAATAGATCATAGACGTCATACAATAAACTTGGGCATCTGTCAACATAACCCCATAGAAACATTAATCAATTTGTGTCTGCATCATAAAGTTATTCTCGATTGAAAATGTCAGTTTACGAGCCAAATTCTCGTCTTTTGCGGGAGGTTTTAATTTTTTGCTTCAATATGAAGAAATCTGCGGCTGAGGCTCATCGAATGCTCTCAAATACTTATGGTGAGGCCGCTATTAGTGAAAGAACGTGACATGAGTGGTTTCAACGCTTCAAGAATGGTGATTTTGACGTCCAAGGTCATGCTCTGTATTTGGTGGGACCAGCTCGGTGTAGTGTATTATGAACTGTTAAAACCGACTGAAACAATCACAGGCGATCGATATCGAACGCAATTGATGCGTTTGAGCCGAGCATTGAAAGACAAACGGCCGCAATACAACGAGAGACACGATAAAGTGATTTTGCAGCATGACAATGCTCGACCCCATATTGCGAAAGTGGTCAAGACATACTTGGAAACGTTGAAATGGGAAGTCCTACCCCACCCGCTGTATTCTCCAGACGTTGCTCCCTCTGACTATCACTTGTTTCAATCAATGGCACACGGCCTGGCTGACCAGCACTTCCGGTCTTATGAAGAAGTAAAAAATTGGATCGATTCGTGGATAGCCTCAAAAGATGATCAGTTTTTTCGACGCGGGATTCGTACGCTATCCGAAAGATGGGAGAAAGTAGTGGCCAGCGATGGACAATACTTTGAATCATAAATGTATAATGAGTTTTTTTACAATAAAGTCTCGAATTTCGGAAAAAAACGGCGGAAGCAAAGTTGTACACCTAATATTAAATTAATTAAAGATAAAAATATGCGATCTCTTTGGGAGATATTTATATGTCCCAGAAAAATCCCAGAAATCTAGAATATTTGGGACATCATGCACAATGCTCGTATGCAGATAAACGGATTAAACTATCAAGGAAACATTACTTTTTGTCTCTATTCGGATTTTAATCGAACTTAACACCAATGTTTATCATCATCAAAGATGGAAATATGTAAAACATTTCGTCAGAAATCCGAAACAATATTCTAGTGGTGTTATATAATGATCTAAATGAAAAGCCTGATTTTGAAAAAGTACTTTCTATCTTCTTATTTAGATTATATTCGCATTCGAATTAGATACTTGTAAAATCGAAAATTGTAAAATCAATATTAGTTTTTTCCGTTGTGCTTATTGCACATATATTCTGTTTCGACCATTCAATAATCACTCTTCATATTTATACTTAATTGTTATCTTTTTTAATCTTTAAAAACATTTTCGGGTGTGGCATACCTAGGCCTTTTTATTTTCAAGATTAGAACTTTTTTGTTTTTAAAAGGTGGCTACTATCTCGTTTAAAAAATAAGCTTTATGATTTTATCTTTACAATATAAACTCACTTTGAAGATGACTTAAAAATATAAAATATAAATAAAAAGGAGCATACAGTTACAATGCTAGATGTTTTAAACGAAAATCATATATTTAAATTATCATATAAAAACATAGACATTTCGGTCAAGATTCGACCATCATTAATAGATAGAAATATCAGGACAAAAAAAAAAGAAATATATAGAATAAAAACAAAAATCATTAGTCATCAAATGATGGTCAAAGCTTTCGCATATGGTATGAGTTAACAGAGGTCCAAGAAAAAGAAATTAAACAATATTCAATCGCTTATGAACTTTTCTGTTAGTGTCTAGGATTCCTTATTACAGGAAGCGAAGTGCGACTTCACTTCATGAAACGTACGGAATTTCCAGATTCTATTTAAAATTAAGAAAGAAAATATGTTTTTAATAATATTATTTTAACAAATATTATTATTCGTGAGAATCACACTAGTTTTATAATAACAAACCACATATTCGCAAATGTAATTCGAAGTAAATAATGAAAATTAATAGACAGACATTGGAACCACTGGTAAGAATTAATATTACAAAAATATGGTGGCACCATAACTAGCGACAGTCTTTATCGTGATAGAAAAGGAGAGGAAAATTAGCGAAGATAATTCTATTGGAGGATAGAGAGTTTATTTCAATGATTGGTAGATAGATTTCAGAAAAGCGTTCTGTGTCACTCTGTTTGTTTAAACCCATTTTTTTGTCTTTTGATATGTATCATCCTTTTATAATAAAATTGTTCGGAGTCAAGAATGATAGTATTATTCCAATCAATCATACGATCATGATCTAGTTTGTAACGAGAGACAAAGTATTCGTTGGTTGTTTGAAATCATTTATATGTTCTTTTAAACGCTTTTTCAATTTCCTTTTTGTCTGTCCTATGAATAATCGTAATCGAGACAGTTTATTTTATATTCCACATTTGAGTGATCTTCGTTTTTAATTTTATCTTTGCCTGTTTTAATGAAGGTATTCATACAATTTATTGGTTTATGAACAATATTAAAATCAAATTTTTTTGTGATAGAATTAAATTTTTCAGAAATTTTATTAAAATACGGAATGAAATATTTTTTTGAAATCTTAGTGGAATCCGAGTTGGCTGTCTTGTGTTCCTGATATTTTTGAAATTATTTTTGAACGATAAAGCCTTGATGCTATTATTAATAGTTGCAAATAAGAATTCTAATGGGTATCTATTTTTTTGGAGAATATTAATTAAGAAAATATTTTTCTCATGAAATTTAGGATGGAAAAGGAATAAGATTCTATTTAACTGCCCGATTACAATACTCCTTTTGTGTTCTAAAGGATGATTTGAAAAGAAATTTAAGAATCGAATTAATAGGCTTCTTATAATTGTCAAAAATAATTCCTCCATCATCTATTAACAGTAATAAATAAAGAAAAAATAACAATAGAATATATTAAACATGTAGAGAATAATTTAGTTAAATTAGAATAAGGAACGGAAAAGATGTTATACAATTATAATGTTTCAATTAGAAAAGATGTTATGTCAATTCTTAAAAATGTACATTTTTCCGAATAATTCGAATAATATTTTGAAAAAAGAACTCAAAGAACTTAATCAATTTGTCGCTGATCATCCTGTGTTACTAGAATGGATAAGAGCAATACTACCGTAATTTTAAATTTGAAGGATTATAATGACAAAATATACGAAATTTTATCCGATAATAATACTTACATAATGGTAAAAAAGATCTTATTAGTAAATTGATCGTGGAAATCGGTATACTTTTGACACGTTGGAGAACTAAAGGTTATATTGGTCAATCCACGTATAAAAAATTATATCGGAGATTTGCCGAGATCTTATGTATTGAAGTAATTAAATGAAGTAGATAAATTATTTCATTCACATACATTTGAATAAGTTATCTTACTGTTTGTTCACTTTATTATACTTTTGAAAGATCACAATTAATGAAAATCTCATAATAATTTGTTATACTCATGGAGCCATCTATGTTATTTGGACTATCTATATTTTTATGATTTGTACGCACTTGTAATTTTAATCTGATCCAGAATAAAAATGATTTTCTTCGAGTTATACATCATTTCTTGACAAGCCATACTAACATCTTACGGACTCACTAAAGTGCACAAGGATAGTCATCCTTTAAGAATGAGTGTTATTTGTATTAACAATCCATTCTTTAATTTGGCTACTTTTAAAAGGTCATCGATAAAAGCATTTAAAAAAATTTCAGTTACATTAAAAATTTTGATCTTGTTAAGAAACTTAATGGTATGCCTAGAAAAAAATTATCAAATTGTTCATTTGACATAACTTCCGTGTATACTGTAATATTCCAAACTTTGAAAAGTGTCTTAGAAAGATTTGATATGCAATAACACGATAATATCTATCTATTTCAAATAGCACTCTCAATTATACTGAAT